ATCATAACAGAATACGAAAACAAACAAATGTCGATGGCGAATTCAAGAAAACAAGATTGTTTTTGCTCAGACATCCTGATATTTGTCATTGCAAGCGTGCTAGTCATTATGTAAACAAAACATTTCACCACTGAAATTTTCAACCATACGATCTAAATCATGCAAGCTAATTGATGATCTCGAAACGTGACACGAATGTATTGTTCGTCAAAAGTCAACTAATATTAACTGCTGCAATTAGATACGTATTCGTTGTTAATGAATTTAAACCGCAATCAATACAAAGAGATTTTTTTAGGTGATTGCAGTGAAAGCAATTGTTCTCGATAGAAATCTAAAGTGAACAATAACTGAAGACGAATTCATGGCTAAAGTTGCATAAAACAACGAAGAGATTACTCAGAACGAAATCAAAGTGGAATAAAAGAGACAGGAAACGCAATCAGTGTAATGAACATGAGATGATGAACAAACGACACAAAATGATAAGTGAGTGCTTCAATACGTTCTTACTGATAACTGCTCATTGCAACAAATAACGAACACCTCTGATAAGAAACTACCATGCAGTGAATCAACAATGAAGTTAAATGCGTGCATTACAAATCGATTCAATAAATTGACACGAGTCACTATGCACACATCAAAATACTCATCTTCACACGCAAAAGAACAATGATAATGATAATAGCAAGAAATCTAACAACCTCAATTCGTTCACGTTAAAATCTGTTTGTCGAGGACGATTGTGATCATTTGCAACTTCCCGTGCGATACTTTGAAATGGAACCAATTTTGTTGATACCTTCAAAAAAATTTTTTTTGCTAACATATTAAGTAAAATTTCTTCTCCTACCATCAAAATCATGTATTCATTTACTTTTGTTTCCTTTGCATCAATCAAAATCGAAGCAATAAAAAGATCTCTCGCGAACAAGCCATTTATGTTTAAAATGATAGAAATAAATCCTATCCATTTCGATAGAATTACATTAACTCTCTGTACTTTCACTTAATTGAGCTGTTTTCCTAGCTCCTTCCGCTTTCAATTGCAATCTACCGAAAACCTCATTCAGAAGGCTTCAACGGTGACCCTTACCAGCCCTGATCTAAAACCATTGCACTGACACACTAACCTCGTCCAAATAACGAAACCTATTGAAACGTCCAATCGTGAGCATATCACCACTTCGTAGAATAACCGTTTCATGAATCGCTTCACCATTGATCTGGAAAAAACAAACAAACAAATAGACAATAGATCATTTACAGTTTTGTGGTGTACACTTACAATGATAATAAAAATAGCAATAGTAATTCAAAAAGAAAATTGGAATATTTGGCAATAAAATAATACGAAAATAAGAGTTGCCTCAATTAAAGCATTTGGAACGGATGGAGTGATGGTGATTGCAGAAGTTGATGAGAATGTTATGGCTGCATGCCGTGGCCATATCAGCTCACCAATTAACTGAATATCAACTGCATTTGCACTACCGATTTCAGTGATACCTTTGTTCAGCGATATTATTCGTTCATTTATCGAACGGCCATCTGCAATATTCCCTTTTCACTGACATTGTTCAATCGCTTAATCGAGAGCAAAATCATATGCTTTCAACGTTATTCTCCAATCAATTATTCTCTTCCGAGCAAAATCAACAAATCCGAAAAACAAACAAAAGGAACAATTCATAATTACGAGTTTGAAGACAATCAACAGTTTGCACGAACGAGCACAAAGACTGTCTCTCTCCTTGCTATTTATCAAATAGATAACCACAAAACCAAAATGGACCTGATGTCAGTGGTATGAGATGCGGATGAAGCGGTGGCAACTGTGTGATGGTGGATGAAAAGTGAGTGGTCTTTGGATGGTAGGATGACGATGCAGGGATAAGGTTCGCATAAGCACCATCACTGATATTAGCAATAACATTTGCTGATGTACTCGTATAAGATTTATGATGAGGTGATGATAATGATTTCACTGAATTCGCATTCTCATTTGTGACAGCAGCGGCAATATTGTTAACGCGACGTCTCACCAAAAATATCACATCCGGATCAAGGTTCAACAATGGATAATCATTCGGATCAACGTACTCCTCGTGACTTGCACCATCTTCCAATGAACGCAGATCACTGAGTGATCGTGACATTTTACATGAACTTGGCATTCGTACCTGTATTGATATTTGATCAAAGCGTCCGTTCATTAGACAACTGATGTAACAAAGGTGATGAAGGGAGCAAAGCGAATACTTTGCATAAAGCTTAAGCATGGGATTAGACTGATAACTTGACCCAACTTTAAAGCTGCATTGCTAAGTTTAGGGTTTTGACATTGCAGCGAGATGCAATAGCCACAATGACTGATTTACTCAAATTTGACTTTCACGAGAGGAAGAGAATGGAAACTGATAATGACAAGTGTAAAAACAAGTACCCTGACAAGCACGTAGTCATCGACGTTCTCCTTGTCAAGACCATACTTGTCGAGTGTTTCACGAACGATTTTTGTGGCTTGATCTCGTAACGATACCAACAACGTCACATACGGTCGACTCGGCATCAACTCGTAGCCGTATACTTTCAAACTACCACCTTCAACACATTCATTCAATTAAATGAAGTGGACAATAAGCGTTAACAGTCAACGAATAAACAAACGAATAAACGTCACCATGGCCCATTTCTTTGAGCTTCGCTTCAAGTTTTCGCTCTCGACGTTTTTTCATCACAATTTCCGGATTTGATATTGTTCGCGTGAATGTCGTCGGAGGTAATGCTTTATACAGCGATTTTGTTGCTGTGCTTGCATCCTCTTTGTCTTGTATTATTGCTCAAATATCAATCAATCAACTCAACCATTTATATGAGGTAATACCTTTGACTATATATAATACTTAACGTGAAGCATTCTATTATTCAATCAAATTTTCGAATTCACACCTAATTGAGATGAAATGCGGAAAGTGAAAGAAGAAGAAGAATTTCTTACTTTACAAGCATTCGGTGAGAATATTAAGAGAGGAATTTGATAAAAGAACACAGTAAGAAATTCTAACTTTTTTTTATATCGATGACAAGATATTTGGCAAGAAATGAAACGTTCAAAAATGATATAATAACAATATTATTACTGAGAAGAAGCGATTGAATTAGATTTACCCCGTTGATGTTTCTTTTTTAATTCTTTCTTTTCTCGTTTCGAGAAGCGTTTCTGACTTCGCTTAATTTCTTTATTTTCATCACCTGTTTTCCGGTTCTTAAAAACAACCATTAATACATAGTGCTTCCTGTGGAACCATTTCAATTACATTAATAAAAATAATAATAAGAGTAACAGTAGTAAAAACAATAATAATCACAACAGTAATAACAACAACAATAATATTAGTAAAGATACCATAATGATAACTGCCCGATCATGTTTTCTTAACAGGAATCGACCTTCACGATCATCGCTATGCCAGTTCAATTGTACCAACAATGGCCTTTCGTCAGGTGACAGGCAACGTTCTTCGCCATTTTCGTGAACTTCCCACAAGGAATAGTCAGGATCAGATAACCTTCAAACAGTCTCTATTCAACAATAAGCATTATCAATACCAACTGTCAACTTGCTAGCAAATAAACGTTAACTGTTCGATGAAAAACTAAATAAAATTAGCAAAGTATTGAATAAATGAAAAGATCCAATAAAGAAAATGTACATTTTAAGGTCTGGATGAAAACGCTCCACTAACGCTTCAATGACAGCACGTGTCGTTGCTGTACTTGAAACGCGAATACATTTCGTTAGAACTTTATTGTTTGATTCTTGATAATAAAACCGCATCACACCATGAATTTCGAGATCCTTGCAATAAACACCGAAATTATTAACAATCACATTAAAGTCAATATAATCAATAGGAATAAAACTTGCAATATTTCTTACAATAAAAGAAGTAACGTTATGACCGCAATATTCAAATGAAGGCATCAATAATAATGACAGTGCTAATCATAACGTTTTCGAATCTGGACACTGACACAGTGCATTCATAGGAATATCTGAATTTGCAACAATAATAAGTCGGATATAATTGTACTGTATTGAAACGAGACTGTATCCTGAATGGATCATCCCTTCCATTCCGTAAGAATCAGTTATTACTGAATCAACTCACTTCATTCGGATAGCTCAAGTTGAAGAGATCCAATCGGTTTTCATTCCACTGCTCCACAAGTCGCCATAATTGTTCACGGTGCTCGACCGATGAAGCCGGCCGATTGCAAGCAAACATCATTTTTAGACGTTCTTTGAACACCGTGTTTCGTTTTTTAACTGGTGTTCGTCTACAACTATCAAATCGCTAACACACAATAAACAAGTTTGAAAACACGTGCACAACGACAACACTCATCATTTTATCACTGGGCAACATTTGAAGAGACAAGACCTCTACTTCAGCTAACATTCCCATTCAGCTTCAAGCTATTCGTAATATTAACTATTCACAAAAACATGCTCAATCACTCGTCGAAAACCTTTCAAAATAATACATAATCACTTTATTAAGAACCTAACCACATGAAAACAGCTGAAAAGACAACTTTAGTCGAAATCAGATACAAACAAAAAGCGAAAATCGTATTTCAAAGGAACATTTATTTATTTGAACTAATATGCAACATTTGCAATCAGCGCAGAATCAATCACTTGCAATGCACGTGAAAATGTCGCTCAGTGTTCATTGCAATTCAAACAAAAACACTGCTGATATGAAGTTGTTAAGTACTGAACTGCAAGCTGAATGCGCTTGAATAATAAAAGTATGAACGTTACTGAAACATTGAAGTAAATGAGTAACTATAGCATTATCAGCTACAATAACAGATCGCTACTCGATCACAACTTCGAATTCAGATCACTGAATAAGTCTGCAATGGCAAATTTGTAAGCCAAAAGATCTTCATTGAAATGAACAGATTTATTCGCATGGAAAAATTTATGATAGTGATGACAAGTGAATAGAATCATTCACTTCAGAGACCCTTAGGTCATCTTTGTGGGCAGTAAGTGATTGTGCTGTGTATTGCCTGATTTAAGAATGCCTCGATGTTTTCCTAATTGGCCGCTTCAAACCCAGCATTAAATTTCAAATCAAGTTCGTTAGGGGTGCATTTTTGTTAGGATTTAATGAAATAGAAATATTTATTGCTGCATCTCTTTCGGCTATCACTTACGATGACATTGACGATAAAATGAAATCTTATTATTTTATTCAGCATAAAGCATTAAGAAGTTGCCACATGTTTCTTTGCCACAATCTTTGTCCTTTCACATGAAACAACAACCATCAACTCTTGCGCACCATGAACGAACGTTTATGTAGATGTGCGTGCAAGCGATTTTCCACTGATCTTACTGCGTGCATTGTTGACTGATTCTAGGAAATGCTCACAAGAAATTTGTTGTTTGCAATTAAACGTACAACGAGCACGCATCGTTTGTTGTCGACTAGAACTGTTCAAGCACTGAAAATCACCGTTTCACCATTAATCTCCGTTCAGCAAAGGTTTATTATCAATTACGAATCCTTTTAATACTCCCTTAATTTGTTTGAGAAATTCCACATGCTGCTTATTTGAAAATTTTCTCACGGCACGCTTCCAAATGTGTTCACTAATCGTAAATGCCATTTTAAGAAGCGTCACAGAGAACAGTGTTTTATGAGTTATGAATATTTTCATAATCATGATTTATTCTTCATCACCGATATCAATATATTTTCATGGATTGATTTGAGCAAAATCCGTCCGACTGAAATTTGGGCAGCTACCTCGAGACTAAGCTAATTCTGCGTTCTGGATGAAGCTTACTCTGGGACTAGCGCATACTCTAGGTCTAGGTGGGGTTTATCGTGAAACGTGTAGGGTTTGGAAAGCCATATTCTTTCTTAGCACCGCGACGATTTTCGTTCATCGTGAACAGAATGCAAAAATTTATTTGCGATCATTTCACCCAAATCAAACTGAATCTTAGCGTGATTGTTTTAAGATTCAGAACACTTTCCGAAGAGATGTTTCTCATTTTTAGATTTACCGGTACTTTCACTGCAGTGGTTGATAAACATCTGAAAGAAACAGGCAAAATGGTAAAAGCTGTTGATAAAAGCATGTTTACATTACCAAACTCTACACCTGTGTGTGCACTCGATTGTGTTGATGCTTTTAATAGTAAGTTGTTTGTTTTTGATTTGCTTTCGTTTGGCTACTTTTACATCGACGATTAATTTTATGAGTTCTGAATGTGAATTTATTTTCAGGTCTTAGTGAAAAGGAAAAGCGATACACTCATTACCTATCAAAAGCTTCATTCGATGGATCTCTCATTGTTTTTTGTCAGGTGATTGTAACTCTTTTTAATCACCTCATCCACATTTTTACGTATTTTGCGTTTCTTTTGTTATTTTTCTCGTTTGACCATACCTATTGTTACAGCCAAAAATTTTCGGAAGAGACATTCATTGCAAAAGTAATTGTAAAATTATTGAAATTGCAGAGTTATTTTATTCAGAAACAGCGATTCATTTGTCATTAAGCTAACACCACGATTAGTTAAGTAATCGAAAGATTTTTAGGTATCACCTGAATCACCAGCGCTGTTCATTATTTTATATCGCCTGTTTGCTAGTGAAACAATCGATGAACTGAAAAAGAAAGCACTAGAGTTGGGATGGACCGAAGATGAATTTATCGCTCTACTTGTCTTCAGTGCTGGATTCTATTCGAATAGTGGTAATTACAAAGGGTTCGGTGACACCAAAATTGTACCGGATGTACCAAAGGTTTTTTGAATTTTTATGTATTTAGTAACTTTATAAGTTTATTCGGTTGTTTATTTATTCAGTCAGCAACTTCGGCTCTATATGAGCAAACATCTTTCTATTCTCATCAAATATCAAGTTTGTTGTTCTTTTTTATTGGCTTATGCAATGCTGCACGCACCATTTTTTTCGAGCGATTACAAAAGAAACAGGATTGTATGCATGCCAGTTCAGTGCATTGAATGACAGAGATTGCTTTTGAAGGTATGCTTTCTCTTTGACTGAATTTTGATGTTGCAATGAAGTGATTCATTATGAAATTGATTACCTTGATCCGACCTATGCTCTGTTGCGCACATCGATCTCTTTCTATAATCTCCACTGTTGGGCATGCTTTCTCCACCTTTGTTCGAATATCGGTTCGCTCTATCTTTTTTTCTGGTCTACCCAATGTTTGGTTGATGTTCATTCACTTTTACGTTTTTATTAGTCTGTAAATTTTCGTATGTGTACGTTTTAATGGTAAAAGATGATACTAGAACCTTGGAACGGTCTTTTTCCAATACGCTGTACCTTATGGATATGTAGTATGATTGTTTGCTGCAGAAGATTTAGTCGGCAAATTGTGCAAGAACAAGCTAGGATGTGATTATTGTTTCAGGAAAAACTGAAAGCGTTATTGACCAAGTCAAAGGCTTCTGAGAAGTATCCGAACTTAGTGAAACTTTATGAATCAATTGAAGGACACATATTCTCACTTGATTCGAAGCATTTACATTTAGATTTCCCGGACAAGGTATTACTATGTTGTGTTTCTCGGTGCCGTTTATTATCAGTCATTTTAGTAGTGTTGTTGCCTTTAAGTATCTGCATTTCGTATAATTTCTGTTAATACGCTCATCCATTTTATTGATATTGTATTCATTCGTTATATTGATAAGGCGCATTTTGAAGGGAGTAACGTGCTATCACTCAAAATTGATCACGAAATCTGATACGGACCTAATCGATCGGTATTTCAAGTTGAAACATATTGAAGGATGGAACAGTCGATTGGTGAAAAGAATCAATGGGGACAAAACTACTTATTTAATTCGTATTGCTAGTGAAAAATCTGGTACCTAAAATGATTTATTTTGTTTCAGTGTTTTTCATGCATTTTTTCCTGTATTATTGCTTCACGAATGTTATCACTAAAAAAATTGCGTTTTATTGTCAGAAACGAAAAAGATGGCTGAGGAGGAGTTCGAAGGAGCTAGTATAGTGTTCGAATACGGTGATTATGCACCAATTTTAACACACACGATCAAATCTCTTAGCAGTGCATTGGTTGGTTTGTTTAATTATATCTTAGTTTTGAGTTTATTTCTCGATTCGATTGATAAGATGATCGAGAAGCGATTTGCTCGTTGGTGATATGTATATTGAAGTTGGTATGATGTTCAAGGCGTTACACATTCGGTGTTTATTTTGAAATGTAAAGCTGGTGTCTTGCCATAAATATATAACTTTTAGAATTATGTGGCAAACGAAAACCAAAAAGAAATGATTCAAAAATATATGGAGCATTTTGAAAATGGTGATATTAACAATCATATGGATGGTTCACGTTTTTGGATTAAAGATGTTGCACCAAATGTTGAGAGTTATATTGGATTTATTGAAAATTATCGCGATCCAGCTGGTACAAGTTGAGTTTTTATATAAGTTGTCTTTGAAAGTTAGTTCATAAAAAAGTAAGTAATCAATATTTTTGTTTTATTCACTCTGTTATGCATATCAGAGATCTGAGAACGCATTCGAGCTGAAATATTCACCATAAAATTATTTTTGACAGCAATCATTAGCTGAAAAGTTAAACAAGAATGAATAAAAAATTTATTTCAATGAAAGATATATTGTTGAATTGTTTTAGAGCTGAATTCGAGGGTTTTGTTGCGGCTGTCAATAAGGAAACGTCGAAAAAATTTCAAAATTTAGTGGCCAGTGCCGAAGATCTGTTAACTCGATTACCATGGGACAAAGCGTATGAGAAAGATAAATTCTTGAAGCCGGATTTCACATCACTTGATGTGATCTCGTTTGGTGGAAGCGGTATACCGGCTGGCATTAATATTCCGAATTGTACGTCATTCATTTTAACCCTGTCTGTTTTATTTTCTTCCCAATAATTGCATTATTTGAATAATTCAAACATTTTGAAACGATTTGATGGAATTCACTCATCATAACACACATCTTATGTCCGGTTTTGTTCTTACTTTCGTTTATGATCATTTGTGTTGTTTGAAGATAAGTTTTTAATTCTGATCAATGTTAATCAACACAGATATCATCTCAGTAAAATTTTGCTGTACTCTTGAAGTGTATTAAGTTTTGTAGAATAAAACTGTATAAGAATAATGATATTATTTATACAACTGTAATAAGTACTCTTGTTTAAGATGATGAAATTCGTCAAAATGAAGGCTTCAAAAATGTATCATTAGGTAACGTGATAGCAGCTATGCCAAAACAAAAGATCAATTTTCTCAGCAAGGAAGATGAAGTAAATTCTTTCACAAATATTTATTTGAAACATCTTCAGTTTATTCATTTTACTCGAATCGTATTTTCACTCAATTTGTTTCACAATATTTTCATGGTTTTTTGGTTAAGCTATTCTTTTTCTTTTGATATTGTACAGTTTTGATGTTTTGTTAGTCCAATTATCGACTGATGACTTGCAAGAGCGGTATCTAGCATTCAAGTGCAAATTTTAATTCAGGAAATGTTCCTTAAATATCGTAAAGAATCGTTTGAAGTGCAAGTGGGGTTGCATGAATTACTCGGGCATGGAAGTGGAAAGTTATTACAACGAAATAAGGATGGCACTTTCAATTTCGATAAAGACCTCAAAGATATGATCACTGGGAAACCGGTTGGTTTTTCTTTTGTTCTTGTTTTGTTACGTTGATTGGTTTTATCTATTTTTCCAAAAAATTTCGTCCGCTTTATAAATATGTTTTCTCATAAAATTTCTAATTTATATGAGCATACCTCATCAAAAAACGCTGAAATCAAGTGGATAAGAAAATGAAAAAAGTTTTTTTTTGTGATGTTAGTGAACTGCGATGATAATTGATAGTCGGGAGAAGTTTGATGCAACTGACTGAGTAATTAGGATCTCGTTTGTTTGTTTGTTTGTTTGTTTTGGTGTCAAGTTGGTATGAGCCTGGTGAAACGTGGAGTTCGAAGTTTGGCGCACTTGCGAGTGCATATGAGGAGTGCCGTGCTGAAGCAGTTGGATATTTCTTATGTACTTATCAAGATGTTTTGAAGTTGGTCTTTTTTATGCATTCTCGATATTTGAATTGGTTTTCTCATCTTTTATACGATTCATAAAGTTTCAATTTTATTTCATTCGTTTCTATTTTGGTTGCACTGAAATGATTCGTTTAAGGAGTTAATTTATGATTGAAATATGAGTCAAAACTCTTTACTCATAGAATAATTCAGAACATTTTTTGAATCTTTCTTTTACGATTAAACATAGTGCTGTTATTTCATTGGTTTTGTGCACAAATGTGATATTATTTGTTGCTTAGTTAGTCTGCCAATGAACTATATAAACGATATGTTGGTTATGGGTAAAGCAAATTGTGTGAAATTGATTTCGAAATGTTTTTCCTCTGATTTCATGAGTCAGTCGATGTTCATGGAAATGTCTTTGTTTCGTTTTGCTTGTGCTAGTTAGGTTGTTGTGAGACAAATGCGAGGAAGATACGGCCTGTCGAATGATGAGGCGCACTTCATGATTACAAAGAAAAACAAACTTTTAAACTAACGCCAAACCCAATCCGTACTACAAGCTGTTACAAATAATTCATTTAGCCTATTGGTTTCTGGTCTTTTTTCTTTTTCCAAAAACTCAACTGGCAAGGAAGCCGTTATTGATGTTATTAACGTTCAGAATATTTGGCTATGAAGGTGAACTGGCCGAAAGCGTAAAGTATGTAAATTGGTTATCTGAGATTCGTGCTGGTTTATTGGCACTCGAGTTTTATTCACCAGAAACCAAAAATTGGGGACAGGTACTTGACGGTTACATCAAATTTGTTTTCTATCTTCTTTTCGCAAGTTCATTTCGCTTATGAATAATGTAAAATGCATGGAACTGCATGCTTCTTAGAGTAATGGTTTTGTAGCTGTAAAGTAATCAGTTGCTTTGCCAAACCGAGTTATAACTTTGCAGTTAGAAATATTTAACAAACTTTTGATTTGATTCCTTTATTTGCGAGTTATTCACCAATTTTAGGCACATTGTTTTGCTCGTTACACACTGTTGCGAGTGTGTCTCGAGGCTGGCGATAACTTCGTGACGATCACGGAAACAGTTGGTGAAGATGGTAAACCAGATCTACTCTTTAAACTTGATCCGGCAAAGATCGATACAGTCGGAAAGCCGGCCGTTGCAGCATTCTTACGCAAACTTCAAGTGAGTCTGATCTTATCTCTTTTTCTTCATGTCCGTCGATTTTTTTTTTGCAGTTTCCATCATTTCAAATTGATATTTTCAAAGTAGATCGTAAACCGTTGTTTATTTTTTTTTTGTTCTGATGAGTTATTTGGAACATTCCATGTGCCTTGAAGAAGATGAACCAAAAACTACCGAAAAAAAAAAAGAATATCTGAAAGAAATGGATATTTATGATGAAAGTTGTGCATAGAGCACGAGTAAAGTACTTATTCATTTGAAGGCGTACAAATCGGTTGGTGACAATGTGGCTGGTTCAGCATTTTTCCACGAATCGGGCGCAGTTGAGTCGATAAACCTTAAGTGGCGTGATATCGTCATTCAACGCCGTCAGCCACGTCGTTTGTTCGTGCAGAGCAATACTCACCTCAGTCAGAATGGTAATTAATTCCTTTATCATGCTTGTTGCACATATTACACCAGCATAACCACTATCTAATTGTCATTTGTAATCACAATCGGTGTGCATTTGTTTCGACTTGTTAGAACGGTTTTTGAAACAGTTTTTCTACCAAATTTTTATCAGCTTGATTTTAGGTGTACAATCATCGTGTAAACACTCGATCGATTGTATACTATACTGTATATGTATAGAGCAAAATGCAAATTCTGTGGAAAGTGCTTTTTGAGTCAGCTTTTTATTAACTAGAAAAAAATTGGGTTGTAAAGTTGTTTTGGAATGTGAGTACAATTTTTAATTCACATGCATTTTTTATAGGTGAAGTTGAACTAAAAACATATCCAGAAACGTTTGAAGGCGTTATTCAGTCGTTTGTTGAACGTTATTCGACTGAGGTTATTGATGATTTGGAAAAATTCTGGCGTGACGATTCATATTTCTCGATTTCAAGTTGATAATCATTATTGATGTAGTTGAATGTTTCATATGTTCCGTATCGAAATATGCATCTTCTCATTTTATCTGCTTGAACGTGTGATCAATAGAATTTCAGTATTATTATTGATTGCAATACGAGGATCTTTTTGTTTTTCGTAATAACATTCCCATTTAGAACATCAAATTTTGAGAAACAAAAGATTAGGGTGATAATGTTAACCAAAAAACATCTTTAGATAGGTCTTTTTGAATTACGCAATTAGGAAAGATATTACTAAAGATGGCATAGCGCCGAAACGTTGAACATCGACTTAGCAGATAACTTTTTGTCAACAACATAATCTTAGTCGATTAATTCGCCTATTATCGTCATGCGCCTTATAAATGAAGAAAGCTTCGGGCAAACAAAAGAAGTAATTTTGGGATGTTTCGCTGTTGTTATCAGTGTCGTTGTTGTTTTCTTGTATTACCTATGGTTTTGTTATTAGTATTGTTATTATTGATAACTTATTCGTAAATTTGTTCATCTCTCATTACAGATAGTTTTTTTTTTAGAATTTGGATTCAAAAAATGTTCAAATAAATCACTTCATGAATCACTTTTGGTTCCAATTTTTTGTACATTCGTGATGATGTCAACAACATCGTAAGTCATCACATATCTGTGAGTCACGCGCGAAATAATTCGGCAGTTTTACTTATTGACCGGTGATGATCACTTATGTGAAGTGATCCCTGATATTCATCCACAGAACCCTCCACTGATTGTGTCATCGAACTTGCGATTAATCGAGATGTGACGCGTGCGACCGAATGGAACAGTTACTAGACGGGCGAAATCTCGTTAGCAACATCAAGCTAGCAGTGTGCCGTTAATAAGGGTTGTTCGTTCAGTGTTCAGTTCTATATGGAGCTGTTAGGTATTGCAATGAACTGCACTGACGCGAAATTTCACATTGCGATAATTTTTCAGAGTGGTTGTGTTACGAGTGTAAAATGCACCCGAGGTATGAACTGAGCATGTGCCTGATGCACACGACTATTGAGCACATCCTCTTGAGTCATTCTCATGCTTACTCTTGAGTTCAAGCTTATGATTTGGCCATAAGGCAGAGGCTTAGACGAGTGGTGCTAAAATTCAAGTGGGTGCCTCGGGTGAATTTTACGGGTCACTGCAGACGTGATCATTGTCTCATCAGCTGAGAAGTGATGATATTGAGATAGGTGGATGGTTAAGAAATTTCATCTAAGTGGAAGGAAATACATTTGATCGGTTGGTTACCTTTTATAATAGACTGTTGTGTAGTGCTGGTGAATGATTCAGACGTTTCTTGCATTTCGATTTATATCCTTTGGAGTTTTATACATCTCTTATGGTTAAATATTTTTTCGGTATAGCTGCTGATGCACGATATATTCGCAGACGCATATACTTGAGCAAATTGATGTATTATTCAGAACATCCAACTGAATTATCCCATAGATTCAGTTCGGTGTGATATATGAATGGGAAATTTTTAGAATTACGCGATTTCGCAGTTACATTTAGTTATCTTTCTGGTAGAACCTTATTTTTATTAGTTTAGAAATCGGCTTCTTATTTCTTGGTCTTTCATCTACTATGTAATTGTATTATCCATTCTGAAACCTTATTATTTGTTTTCCAATGTTTTTGTGCGTACTATTGTGATGACTTTTGCTCGCGGAATCATTGTTAATTGGACTTTCTCTGATACGGTAAAAGTTATGCTGAATATATCCGAATTTTTCATTCGGAACTTGAGGGTCCCACTAAGGTTCGTCCCAATATTTCAAACATTTTTAGTCCGGAAATCAGGGTTAAGTCCCACGGTCGTTTTCCAACACTGAAATAATTCTGGAATTCGGTAACTTTGGAAATATAGAGGTGTCACGCGTCAAACACAATCTTTTTGAATCGTTGCACTCCCAGTTATTTGAAAAATATCTGGAAATAAAGCATCAACATTACAATTCGGAAATGGCATCAACAATTGAATTTTTTGTATCAATATCTTAACTTCTTTCAGTGAACAACTTCAGCGGATTATTTTTTTAGTTGCTTATGTCTGAAATAAAAACAAACCACTCATATTCCTCATCAAAACGTTTTTCCGCCAGAAATCTGAAGAATTTGGAACTCGTTAAAGTTGTGAATATGGACGAAAGTGTAATCTAAGATGAACATATTTCTAAAGTCACATAAAATGTCGTACTTTATCAAATCCAGAAATGGCAAGATTTTCCAGAAATGAGTAACGGGATCGAGATCGGGATTAAAAAATCAGGGTTCCGTAAGAGCGCATCAGATTCGCAAAGAAGCATCAGTATTTCGATTCCCGTAAATTATAGTCTCTAGAATCCTTATATCAATCATGAGGTTTACAAGTATTTTCTCCAGCTTTTTCGTTGTGCGGAGATGGTAATTTTTATTGTTTAAGAAAAGTTTCGATATGCTTTTGTTTATGCTGCTGTCTAGTAGTGAGAATTGAATTTCTTCGCTCAATAATTTCATTCAAAAAGTGTCCAGTTTCTCTATTCCATTCTGTCTGTTCACCATATCCTTTCATGAATTAACGAACAAATCCAATTGACAACTCATCATATCATTGAAAAATCATTACATGTCTCGTCCGAATGAACTTGTAATGCTAACAATATTTACGGTGATTATTTTGTTCGTTTCGAATTCATTATAAGTCTCGTAAGGTTCGCTTTGATCATTTAACGGTACTGTTTCATTTCGTAATTGCATATTTCAAAAGTTTCTATTTCTTGTAATTCATTTCCTGGAGAGTGCAATTAAGCCCCTAAATAAAGCAACCCATGATACGTTTGTGACCCTTCATCGGTTGAATGATTCTTTTTTCTGGAAATAAATTTCAGTTTATCAATAGTAGGTATGAGTTTATTATTTTACGGTTTTTTGTGTAAACGCTATTTTGATGAATCGAATTAGGAACAAATAAATATGCTCAACAATAGGCTACATATTGTTTAAGTGAGACTGTTTTTTGTTCGTTCATTTTTTTTGAAAGATACGTTATATGATGAGCGGATGGTCAATGTCCATAAGTTGATCTGACTAATCAGTGTTGTTCATCTATGTATTTGTTGATTAATTTGGATTGAGAATGCCTATTTAAAATACGTCATGAAATTGTTTCAGTTTAGTTATTGTGTTCCCAGGTTCCTGTTTCCGTTAGTAATGGGTGACAGTAATGAAAATCATGATGATTTGGTTGAACTCTCATGTGAGCAGACAACTTTGCTTGAACGTTATCAGGTGAGATTCCCAGAATCTTCTGTTCATTTTCCAATGCGTTGTTTTATTTTTCATTGAGCTCTGAAGAAGTTTGCTCATCATTAATTCATTGTGATGGTGCGTATTTAAAGAAGCCTTTATTGCGTTACTACAGTTCATCGTTCTTATTATCTTCGGTGTGTCTGTGTACAAAAATCATTTGCATTGTCGTATTATTTTTGTCGACTCATTATGATCATTTTTACTATGAACTAGCAACTGTCCATCACTGATTTGTTCAATTGAAAAGAAAGAATACTATCGTTGGGCAATTCAAAAAATGAAATCGTTAAGCAGACAGCACGGTTATATTTCGAATGTATATACATTAATGAATGCTAGTGTAATTCATGACTTTTTTGTTTCTTGTTTCCAAAAAACCGTTTGTTTTAACAGGAGATAACGAATGAAGCGAATAAACGTAAGGCTATCGAAATGATGCAGTCTGTGGATTGGGATTTGCAACAGGCAATCGACAAAAGCTTTGCGGGTGATGCACAATATAGTGACACCGTTTCGAGCAATACGCTTACAGCTCGCAGTACTTCATTTGCTCATGATGATGATGGGTGCGTTTCATTTTATCAAAAATTTTCAAGTTCGTTCACTTCATTACTTTTAATATTATTACTGATTAAAACTTTCAGCCAGAGGGACGAAATGGATGAGGATTTATGGTTTGATGGTGCGTCTGAAATTCATAATGGTACTAGTGCAATTGATACACCAGTAAGTTCATCAGCAAGTCATTCCTCGTCGAAACACACTGCGACTGGTTAGTGAAGTGTTCATTTGTTGTATGGTTGATTGATTTGATCGAATTTATTCCTCTTCGGTCATTACTCAACAATCAATGCCACTTCAATTCCCAGTTGATTTGATTTTTGCGGATGTTACCTGAGTGACAGGTAGGTGTCCGATTTTTCAGCAGTTATTTTTGCTGAACTTGTAAGGTTATCAGCAAATTGTAAATGTACTATATTATTCACTCTAACTGGAGTTGGCAACCGATAGATTTTTTTCGGTCATTATTGGCAAGGCAAATTTCATACTTCAATTGGTCCCGGTCTGTGGCCACTGAAATCCGGTTTCGGTGGGATAGAGTTTAGTAGTTGAGAAGGGAGTAGGGTAAACCGATTCCCTCTCCGAAATATGCCTCTACATTTTCCTGTATACGCCACTTATGAATTTCGAATACCTAATGATAGTATGTATTGACTAATATAACTAATTAACCGGTTAATTGAGGTGAATGATTGGGGAATATTTAAAGGATCAGCTGAGTGGGCTGGCACAAGTACGTCGTCAGCAAATAATTCGAACAAGACGTTGGGAACTTCGAATTTACGTTCGAAAAGCGGACGTAATGCACTGTCAGTGATTAGTGGGACAGGAACCGGTGAGGAAGTGTCGGGATTGGAACGTGATTCAGATTCGGATGGCTTCGATGGTCATATGGAAGTTGAGGAGGATGCTGATGATTTGGTTCGTTTGTTTACTCATTTATTCAATCAGTCATACATTCGTATATTCCATAGCTCTCACTTTCTTATCATGACGTACCAGGATGAAAAATTCGCCTTGTTTTGATATGTATATTAGTCAAGAGTATTGCGCATCGTTCTAAATAATGTCGTTGATCCAAGTGTTGGGTTTGATTGTTACCCTAATTTACCAGATAATATCTCAAATCTATTTCCAGTGTTTCAATCCCTATTGTTGCTGAGTGAATAATTTAATTCACTAGAAGTTTTTACTCATTTTCATTTGTAGCAGAATGCAAACGGAAAGGTAGAAGAGCGTGCGCCATTAGTACCATCTGAATTCACAAGTATCGAAGAGGCTATGAACAATTTCACGGTGGTATTTGAAGCGCGGTAATTTTGAACTTTACTTCAGTTTTTACTCGTCTGTTGCTTATTATTAAATATTAATAGATTTTGGTCAAAGTTGAGTGATTGTGAGAATGTTGAACGTTGTTGTTATTTCATTATTACGAGCATTATTGAAATGATTAACCAAAGTGTAAATGTGAACATTCAGTTATGGTTATAATCATCCACCGTTTTTTGCTGGCTCATTACGTGATGCATTGCGTGAAGCGTTCGAAGCACCTGGTCGTCCTGTTTCTGAGCGCCGTCCTTTGGTCATGTATTTACATAATGATAATGCTGTTGCGAGCAATATTTTCGCCAAAAATGTATGTTTTTGTGATTTGTTATGATTACTCAGCTGTTTTTTGCATCACTGTTACGATCATAATGGACATACCGTTTGATTAAGGTGTTATGTTCTGATAACGTAGCATCGTTACTGAATGGGCAGTTCATAACGTGGGGTTGGGATATGACTCAAGAAGCGAATAAACTAATGATGCTGAGATGGCTAGAATGGAATGATATACGTGATATGAATAGAATATTGCGCAAGTGAGTTAGTACTGATACAGTTTATTTTAAAATTTTGTTCTTTTAGTTTGATTTTTGAATAAACGAATTCAAGAAATGATTTTTTATTTATTGATGACTTAGAACGTCAAGTGAACAGTATCCGTTGGTTTTGATAGTAACAAAGGAGTCTGGTGTGTTTCAACTGTTCGAATATTGTTGTGGTATGTAAGCTATATTTTAAGATTGTTTTCAAGTTTTTTTGTGATTACCTTTCTCTTCTCAACAGCGTTCTTGTTTGATAAAATTCTTTTTAAAAAATTATTTGTTAAATTTTTGTAGTTATTATTTCGTTAAGTGAGTGATAATCGGCTTTGTAAGGTATTTTCAGGCTTCGATCGCCCTGAAGATCTTATGCAGAAATTGATACGTGGTTTAGATTCTTATCAGCGCGTAAAAGACGTCGAAGAGGGAGAAGAAAAGCAAAGACAGGAGAGGTTATTTATTTGAATGCTTTTGTCATTGCCACCCACCACTATCGATAGATGATGACAAATTTTAGGGAGATGATTCGTCAGGAGCAGAAAAGAGAATACGAAGAATCACTGGCTCGTGACCGTGCCAATCAAGAGAAATTGGAACGACAGAAACAAGTGCAAGAGTGAGTGTAGCGTAGTAGTTTTAATTATTGTCACTGTTGTTTTGCCACAATTATAGAAAAGAGGAGGCACAACGTCAATTGGCAGAGGAGCAGAAAGCTGATCGTATGAAGAAGTTAGCGTCTTCGTTACCGAGTGAGCCGACAGCGAACGATGCTAACATTGTTATGGTACGTATGCGTTTTCCTGATGGGCTTGCTGAAATTAGAAGGTACGTTTCTTATTTTATTCGGTTGCTGATCATGCTTGTTTCCGTCAATTCTATGAGGTTTCTTTATTTTTATTGTTATTATTATTATTATTATTATTATTGATATTGATATCAATCACTTCTATGATTATTAATATAGTACATGCTAACAGTAAAAGAATCAAAACTTGATCTGCTCAGTTTTGTGCATTTTTAATAGTTTTAAATTTGTCGCGAACACGTTGTCAGTGCGTAGTAGATGAGGTCAATAATCTTCAGATTTCGTAGAGATGAGCCATTAAATAATCTAGCAATTTTTATCGAATCGAAGGGTTACGATATGAAGGATTATCGGATATGGAATTCAGATGTGCCAAAGAAAGATTTGGTAACTTTATGAATTCAGTTATTTATTCCTTCGAAACTTTGTTGTATTATTCATCGTTGACGAGTTGCTTTTAAACTCAAACTAACTATCATATAATTTAAGCATAGAAGTGTATTTTAATCAAATATTTCGAACAGAAACAGGTTGAATCTTCTCTTCCTTAGAGCGACGGTTTTGAATGTGCTGTTACCGTTTATTTTCATTACTTTATTATTATAAATAATTGTTGTTACATCGATTACGTGCTAACAATAATAATAGCGTATAATACTAGTGAATTTCAGGTGCAATCATTTGATCTCAGCCGATCATTTGCTGATCTCAATTGGCCTGTACGTGAGCAAGTATTCGTTGAGGAGAAGTAAATGGAAGGATGCTTGAATGAATGTATTTTTTCGAGTTTTAATTAGTGAATGAATCATCAACGATGGGTGGGAACGATCATCATCCTTTCATGTCCCTTCCTTATGAGCGGCTGATACTTTAATTACTGTCAATATAACGATATACCGTCGCTGAACATGTCATAAGTAATATTAATTCATCGTTGTTTCATTCCAACATAGAATTACTTTAGTAGTGGAATAATTATTCTTGCAGCGTTATTCAGTTCAGTAATCTTATTCTCATTTACTGTTAATACTCCGTAATTCAATGTTGATAGACGTTGTCAGAGGTGGATGAGATTTGTTTGAAGAGGGGAGGAGGGAGGTCAACTAAAATGCATGCACATAATCGTTTTGGTTGTGGTACATTCCGCTAGATGATTTCGTTAATAATAGGTCAGTGTGCACGCATGTTATAGTGCAGTTGGATTCTTGTATCTGTAGACCAGTATTTAGCAATAGTTTCAGTTTTTTGCTGGCATATATTTTCTGGTAACATTTCTTTTTAATAGTCATATTTTTGAGTGACTTGCAATGAGTGCTTAAAGTCACACGGTCTGAAAAGCTAAGTCATTCGTGCAAGTTTACTCTAAAATTGCAACTAACAAATCAATCTAAATCATTATTTGCTAACCCGCATCATCATATTTTCATACTATTATATTTTCATTATGGTTTTATTATCTGGTTTTCGTTTTCATAATTATGTGCTTTTTTTAATCTGCCCTCTTTTTCATGTGTTCGATGAAATCAATTCAATCACTCGGTGTGTACTTACCCTTCCCCATTCCACTACTCCCCCCCCCCCCCCCCCCCCCCCCCCCCCCCCCCCCTCCATCACCTCCCATACCCGTTTTATTTATTTCTTTATTCGAATGCACTTCCTCTCACCCTCCTGTGAATAATCCGTCTTATTTTTTGTATATTTTTATCGTTCTCAATTGTTTTCTTCTCACTCGGTTATCGGCTGCCTCCACTGAAATGAAAATGATGCTCGTTGATGTTTGTTTAATTGTTCGACGTGTTGTTTACAACTGTTTCTTGCTCACTTTGTTTATATGATGTGAGCATTTTTGCGTTTATACAAATGGTTCTGAATATCCTGAACGCTTGAGTGCGTTGACAGATGATTCGATTGAGATTTTGAGCCATATTTAGTGTGAAATTGACCACATTTTGTTTTCTTTTTAAAATTATTTTCCTACTTGACTTTACGTGATATATTCAACATAAACTAGTTCTTCGAATATCACAATAATACTTATGTGATTCTGTTGTATTTATGTGCTCTCCATATCTATTTTGAGTGGAATTATGATTTCATCTTGTCTCACATTGTTCTCCTTTCTTCAATGCAACTTTCTCAATTTCTTGTCAATTGTTGTTTCAGTGTTTCATTGCTTTGCACTCAGTGTTAACTGTTATTCTTCGACTCAACGCCACATTCACTACCATACAAATATTTCTCAATTTTCAGCTTATTATACATCCAATCCCTCGTTCTCAACCCTCAATTTTTTGTCATTCAACTATATTTTTGTTGTTGTGCGAAAATGAGCAACTAGTTCTCGGAATAGTTCTCGTTTAGAGTTAATTAAGTCAATTTTGCCGTAATGGGTTTTTCTTTGTTGTTTTTTATACTTCTTCCCACACTGATGCTTTAACGGAGTGCAACGATTGCTTTATTGAAGCGATAGTTAAATAAAAGTGATTTCTATTTGAGCTGAATACGACATATTCTCAAACATCAACACTAACCAGGCACAATAATTCAAGAAACAAATATTTATGATTTGTTTACTCATTCATTTTGTTTGTTTGTTTGTTTTTCGAGTATGTTTAATGTATTCGTGCCTTATCGAAGATGTTTTTTAGAGGATTTTCAGTGAGAATTCAATAACGAATTGATTCAGTTACCCTCAGTTCCATTATTATCTTTCATATATTATATCGTTGATGTTGTTTATATTCATTGTAATTATTTTGCGTTCGTTCTTTATTGAAGCAAGCCGTTTTGTTCTTCTCACAGTTTGGTGGTGTTATTTTTAATGGATCGTTTTTCTTTTCACAGATATGTATTTTTATTCATACGATGGATGTTTTTTGAGGGTAGGGAGGATCAAGAAGTTTAAATTGATGACGATAACTAATTGAAATGTTACTTTGTAGTGCGTACTATCTATTTTTGATGAAAACGTCAAATTTATTCACATGTAGTCATGTTCAACCGAACGAGATGTAGTGCTTCTCGTGAAGTGGTCATCGTTCATTCATATCATAAACTATGAAATCAGTCGTGTACGATACCTTTGTTCTTGTTGTGTTTTCTTTAAAAATTCTCGTGTTGGCTCTCTTGTTGAGATGCGTTTTCATATGCGCGAATTTCATTCAGTTCAATTGAATTTGATTAAGATGCGATCATTTCTTATCTGATATTGTTGANTACCTTTGTTCTTGTTGTGTTTTCTTTAAAAATTCTCGTGTTCGCTCTCTTGTTGAGATGCGTTTTCATATGCGCGAATTTCATTTAGTTCAGTTCAATTGAATTTGATTAAGATGCGATCATTTCTTATCTGATATTGTTGATTATCTGATGATCGATGGTTTTATGAATAAATATGAATCGTTTTTCGGATTACATGTTGTTTGCGTATTGATGTCACGAGCAATTGCAACGATTCAATTTATTTCTTTCACTTTTTGTCCACCCTTCTCATTATTACAAGTCGATTAGGAGTGATGAATTAAGTCGCTTTAGTGACTCTCTTTTCTAGTTTTTCAATGAGGTTGTGGTTGTTGATTGCGTTCAGTGAGTGGCTTGCTTAATGACACTTCGTTGCTATTTATTCATACAAGTTAATTGTTGTTGATTGCAGGAGATGGGACAGACTAAACGAACAAACGTTTGTAACCTAGCCACTGGGGGTTAGCTCTCAAACCCAGTGCCGGTCCCAAGCCCGGATAAATAGGGAGGGCTCAAATTCGGAATGTCGTTCGTCCACAGGACGTCTACTGAGGACGAGTAGAAGCTAAAGGACAGAGTGCAACGAAGAGAAGTTGAGAGAGTTGGATTCCTTTATGAAGTGGTGTCAGTTCAGGGAAGAGATCATTTCATTAAACATTCGTTTACAATTTAATTCGAGTGATCGTCATCTAAGTCGAAAACAAAACAAATTATCGAATAACTCAATAATTTTAAACAATATTCTTCGGGAAATGATTTAACGAGATGTGATGCACTACGAGTGTGTTCCCTCACTTAAATTAGTAGAACGTATCAATATCAGTTCTTGCACTATAGATTGTTTGTCGCATTTAAATAGCGGTACAGTGTGAGTCTATTGATGAGAAGTAATCCCTCTTTATTGTATTCTGCGGAAGATTTAGTTTGCTTTCTAGTGTTAACAGTTTATGCGCTCATTTACGAAACGATTTTGATCATCGATTCATTTATGTATCGGGTGTTGTTTATTGTTATGATTGCGCGATTCGAAATCGAGTCTCATTATTGAATTTCATTTTTGATTTATATACACACTCATCAATCAGCACTGAGTCATTGAGATGAATCCGTGTATTGCAAAACGTTTTCGATTTCTCTGTATTAGCCATTTCTCGAACATCATTCTACTCATTTTACTCTATATTCATGCACTAATTCGAATGCAGGTACATAGTGCAGTTTATTGATTCATTTGTTCGATATTATTATTATTGTTATTATTATTATGGTTATTATTATTATGGTTATTGTTATTATTTGTTATTATTATTATTATTTTTACTTTTATTGTTGCTTTTGACATCTTGATGCTTTCAGTCTTGCTACAGAATGTTTTTTGTTGATTGGTGCATGGATCGATGGTTAGTATGAGTTGATGATAATTTGTCGTGCTTTTAGCTGTTAAAATGTGACGGATATGAAGGAAGGAATGAAAAGTTTCGAAATAAACGAGAAACCGTAGTTGGACAAGAGCTTGTAGATGATTTTAATGAATGGACTATTTTGATTGGTCATGATACGATTATTCCGGTTAATATTGCATAATTTTGTTATACCTTTCAAATTTGTGTTCGTGAGTTTATTATCATTTGTTGTTGTTATCGTTTGTTTGTTTCAGAAGAACGTTTTCGAGAAATCATGCAAACGAGTACATCGTTATTGTGCTGAAAGTGGCAAGAAGCTTATGGGCTTCGAAGGACCACGTGGTCCACCTGGTCCTCAAGGGCCTGCCGGATCACCAGGTTTATTGTTAAGATAATCATAAATTTTATGGTTTGTAATCGGTTTTTTAACATTCTTCTTTTTTGGTTCATAGGTACCTACCATCAGTTGTAGATTTTTTGCAGGGAATTGAAACTAATGTTCATATGTTGAGTCTTGAAGCTAATTTCAATTTGAACAATAGAAAAAAGTTGGAATGTTGCACTGAAATCTTAAATTTTACTTTGTTGAGTTCTTCTATTGCGATCGATCTTTGTATTCACACATTAAGAAGTTAATTTTATTACCTGTTGCATCTCTACTTATGAATATATACGTTTGGCATGATTAGTCGCCTCATATTTTCAACTTAATGTGTCGAGAACATCTTTTTTTGAGTGAGATAATACAATTTTAGGCCGACGAGGTCCACAAGGAAAAATTGGGCCGACGGGTTTGGTGGGAAATGTTGGTGAGGAAGGAGCTGCGGGTCGAGACGGTATCTTTTTTGAATGATTTCAGTGAGCATTCGATATTTTTCGCATGTTGCGGATGTGCATGTTGCTTGAGTCAAAAACAAGTGCATTCTAGGTCGCTGTAATTGCACGTTTCCTGATCTTTACGTGCAACGTGTCACCGTGCCTGGCCCTCCAATCATTCAGATACACGAGAAAACCGTTCCTGTACCTGTGGTCGTTGTTAAAGAAGTTGAGGTGTGCTTTTTCATCAGTGGAGTTACATGTTCATTTTTATACACTTTCATTCGTAATGTCGTTTTGTTTCACTCAAATTTTGTCATTCCAGTCGTTCAGATTTTAATCCTATTTGAAAAGATCTACTCTATTTTTCAAGTCATAATTGAAAATTTTTCTCAGTTAAAGATACTTTCATTGAAACGTTGATTCAGTAAAATTGAATAAAAAGAAGTTAAAAGTTGCTAGCAAGTGAGTTGCATTTGTATGTGTTGTGCAGGTAACAAGATTGGTACCATTCGAGCCCACCGCTCCTGGTTTTGGACCTCCTCCTGGTTGGTCTCCGGGCATGGGAAGGCCAGATCTTTCACATACTCGAATATTACCTAAATTCACAACTGTTCCTCCAACAACAAGCACTTCTACGACACCAACCACGATAGTACCTCAACTGTCGATTGAGTGTTCGTTTTGTTTGATCACTTATTCATTGGTTTGTTTCTTTGATTATTTATTCATCAATCCAATATTAGCAACATCAAGTGTTTAGTTGTCAATGAAACATTCGAGGATGTTGACAACTTTACGATCACTCAGCCATTATCCACTGAACCACCAACGACCACTGAACCATATACTGGTCCACCAACACTTGGTTATAACCGCAGAGGTTTTTCTTTGAAGTTTAATTTCAGTTGATCTCTAAAATTTTTATTTTCCAAATGTTCGTTCAGATTCTAATTCTTAATTTGTTTGTTTTTTTCAGTAATATATACATTAGACAGTAATGTTAACAATATTCAAGTGTTTTTGTTATTA